TTTTCTCCACATTACCGAAATTTTATTGTAGCTATTACTTCCGGCAAAGAGCCACAGTCTTTTAAGGAGGCTATGAAGGATGCAGATTGGAGAAAATCAATGCAAAATGAAATTCAAGCTCTAGAGAAAATTGGCTCATGGACAATGGAAGATCCCCCCGGCAAGAGACCTCTTGACAGTCAATGGGTGTACAAAATCAAATATTATTCAGATGGAAGCATCGAACGTCTAAAATCCAGATTAGTTGTCTTCGGCAATCATCAAAAGGAGGGAATTGACTACACTGAAACATTTGCTCCGATTGCTAAGATGGTTACTGTTCGTGCTTTTCTTACCATTGCAGCTTCTAAAAATTGGGAGCTACATCAAATAGACGTTCATAACGCTTTCCATGGAGATCTAGACGAGGAAGTATTCATGAAACTTCCATAAACTAAAATTATGTACTATTTGTATATTTGTATTGTATGATTAATATTATAGGTGCGAAAATATTCTAAGCTACGAGGTACTAAGAGATAGTTATCTTGATACGAGTACATCAAAAGGGCGTATAGAAGGGGACCATAAAAACAGTACAACAAACATTGTTTAAGAAAGCCTTGATAGGTTAAAGGAAGAGGATGGTTGTGTAGTAACTTTATAATGTAAGAAAATTAACATTTTATTTTATGTGTTGCATATTAAAAAAAAAAAAAAAAAAAAAAAAAGTGTTGGTGATTTGTTCATATTAAAATACTTTTAAGGGTGCTTGAGAATTTTAGATAATTTAATGTAATAAATTTCATAATCTGGATTTAATTTATTGTTAAATTTAATATTTTAAAAAAATACGAAGTATATTATATTATTAGGTTTTTTTTTAAGTTAGATTACTTACTTGTAATTAATTAAATTAACCTCGCCTAAAATATGATCTATTGTACTCCGTAAGAAGGATAAAAACCACTTTATGACGAACGAAATTACGCTATGCTCTCTCTCGTAATTTTTTTACGACCTATCTCTCCTAAAGTTTCAGGGGAAAAATGGTCATTCAATAGGGGCTCGAGGGGGGAAGGGACCAAACTACCGAATTTATTAACTAGTTTTTTTAGGCTTATTTTATTCTTGCTTTGGATCCCACACGAAATTAACGACACTATTAGAAAGTAGAATTACCAACAAGTACTAGTACATAACTAACCTTAAGTGAGGATCAAGGAGTGGAGGGGTGGTTAGTCCCTCCATCTTCCCCAGGTGTGATCTAGGTTCGATTCTCACCCCAGGTGCCCCTTCGCGAATCTTACCGTGTAAAATAAAAAAAAAATAAAAAATAAAAACCTAACCTAAGTAGCACTCGAAAAGTGTTACATAAAGTGGTTTAAGTGTTCTTATAGACACACAATTACACCTAACATGCTGGTGATGATGCGTGCTTTGGAAACAACTTATGTGGCTGACCACACTGTGTGGCAGGGGTTACTTATTCAGGAGTTACTTGTAGGGTTTACTTATTTAGGGGTTACTTACTCAGTCGGTTAGCGCATTTTCTGTGTGAGAGTAACCCATGACCGACCGAGTAACCCTTGAATAAGTAACCCCTATAATTTACCCATGACCAAACGAGTAACCCTTGAATAAGTAACCCATGACCAAACGAGCAACCTCTGAATAAGTAACCCCAAAATAAGTACCCATACAAGTAACCCCTAATCAAACGAGTAATCCCTACAATTAATCCCTGCCACACAGTGTGACCAGCCACATATAAAATTTTTTTGACACTAGCTTTGGAATTCGATCTATACACTAATACGCACAAAACCAAGAGTAAGTAAAATTTAACAGCATTGGTGTATGTTAGGTGGTCTGAACACCATCGCCTCACGTATTGGCCTATATGATAGAGATACATACTTTCTAAATCTTACTATTAATCCCATATTAATCGTTAGTGATAATTTGAGCTCTAGTTGTCAAAATATATATATATATATATATATATATATATATATATATATATATATATATATATATATATATATAATTTGAGATTTTGAGCTCACTAAAACGTAAGAAAATTGGTTTCAATCGTAAATATTCAATTACCTCGCATAGTTTAATCTCATATAATATACATAAGCCTTGTTTTGCTCACTTTATTTTACTTATCTAAGATTTTATAAGTTCAAATTAGTTGATAAGGGTTACCTTAAAACAAATTATAGCTAAAATAATTTCAAATATAAGATAAGTTTAGATAAATAAAAATCATTTGAATAGTAACACAGTCAACACACCCATATCTATGCATACTAAAGCCCGTTCACTTAACCTTATTTTGTTGAACTGAAATTATTTTTACTGAACTGAAATTATTTTTGTTGAACTGAAATTATTTTTACTGAATTGAAATTATTTTTGCTGAACTTTTTTTTTTTGACAAAGATTTCATATAACGAAACAGAAGTACAACAAGATAGCTAACTAAAACAAGAAAACACAAAACAACAAAGGAAACTAAAAAAAAAAAAGACTAGAAAAGAAAATTGCTGAACTGAATTTATTTTTACAAATTTTCTATTATATTTATTCTTTTTAGATATTGAATTTTACTGAACTGAACTTATTTTTATTGAACTGAAATTAATTGTATTGAACTAAAATTATTTTGACTTAATATTATTTTTTAAGGTGAAGTAAACAGGACCTAATTTACTATTTTATCATTTTTTTCGTAACTTACTATGGTACTGGAAACATAAGTACATAACCCCCTCAAAAAAAAAAAACTTTTGTTTTAAAATTTTAAAATTATTTTTATTTTATTTTATTTTTTACGGTAAAGGAATTAATTAGAGGAATATTGCGTAGAAGAAATACGGCTCTAGCGGAGCGCTTAAGGCAAGCATATCAAAACACCTACAAAGTATATTATTTAATTTTTTTTTTTTAAAAAAAATTACAAATTGCTAGCTGTGAGATTTTTCATATGGCTGTCACTTCCCCCACGTGTAACCACTAATCACGCGCGTACGAAACTTAATATTCTACTCGCGCGCGTACCATACCGCTAATAATAAATTCCAACAATAGTAAGATAAACTCGCAACAATTAGATGACCCCCCAAAATAAATAAAACGATATTTATCATCACCAAACTTAAAAATTTTAAAAACCACCGGAAAAATATCTATAGCCGCTAAAAATAGAAAAAAATTAAATTTAAATAAATAAATAAAAAGGAAAATACTTGGCCAATAGTAAAGAGATGAGGATTGAAAGATTAGGAGAGAGAAAGTCCAGGTGGATTTTTAGTGCACTTTTTGGCCACGTCATATTCAACTTGCCGCCCTTCTTAATTTGCACTGCCACGTTGCTTTTATAAAAGGGTAAAATTGGAATTTCATTTAAATATCTTATGATATGGTTGATTTGTAGACGTTTCTCGTCCACTTTTTAAACGTATTTTATTTTAAGGTAAGAGGAATATTTAAGGAAAAAGGGAAATTAGGGGGAAAATTCTGTGGCCATAAGTTTTTGGAAATGGAAAAAGTGGGCCCTAAAAAAGGGTTGTTGGGGGTTTATGTTTTCACGTTAGTTCTAATTAGGTTAGTACGAGTAGTGTTTTTAAAGGGGCGGAAATTTTTATTATTTTTTGTGTTGTTCTATTTTTTATTCTTTAGGTGAAAAATATTATTAAATTTTTCTAAGTGTCATTATAACTAGTACAGTAGCACTCCATCGTTTTAGGTTTTTTCCCTTTTGGTCCTACTTTCAACACTTGTAGTAAAATATATGCTAATGCAGGGCATATATCCTATGAGGCTATATATATATATATACTCGTAGAGTTAGGTGATAAATAGGGACTACACTTTTTAATTTTTTATCTTTTAGGACCTAAACTTTTTTCTTCACCTTTTGGGACTTAGAAAATAATTTTAGTGGGATAAATTAACTATGGTTAAGTGATGGGGCCCACTAATTGTTTAAGGTTCTAATTTATTTGCAAAAGAGAAATTTTTGTTAGTTTCCCCTCCCAAAAAAATGCGTGTTAACCCCAAAAAAATAAAAAAAAATAAGGTGTCATTTCAATTCCCACTGTTCATCATCAACCTCCATCTGTTTGTTCTCCCTTTCAAAAAAAAATTGGAGCTCAGAAGGTATTTTGGTGCACAATATTTGCGACTTATAAAGCATCTTAGCATAAGTATGTTGTCTATGAATCTTGTTCAAAAAAATTTCCTTCAATTTTTGTATTTTCTGTTAAGGTTTAGGGCTTATTTTTTAAAAAATAATTTTGAATTTTTTTGTGTGTTGAATGGTAAATAAAGAATTATTTTCCCAAATATATAAGGCTGAGCGATGAATTGGGGTAAATTAAGAAATTTTTTTTCCCAAGTATTTTTATTTCGAATCTTTTAGCAACTCCAATAGAGTTAGCTTCCTTCAATTTGATAGAAATTTTTATTTTGGAGTGTTGTTTGCAATTAATTTAGTTTTAGGACAAAATTGAAAAATAGAAGGCTACTTTTTGAAGTTTATGTTTTTCTAGAGTTAAACTAATAATTAGGGACTAAATTTTTTAACTTTTCACAATTTGGAACCTGAACTTTTTTCTTTCACCGTTTGGGACTTAAGAAAGAATTTCAGTTGAAAAAATTAACTATGGTTAAGCAGTGGAACCCATTAATTATTTTAGGTACTAATTACTTCAAAATTTGTTTTTTCTCATAATTTATTGCTGGGTTTAGGGCTTATTTTGATAAAATTTTATGGGTATTAGTGTTGTTATAGTGTTGAATTTATTTGTTTGTTCTTGTATTTCAGAATTTCGAATTTCAATTTGGGGTCAATTCAGAATTATTTTGTTTATATGATTGTTTCTGACCCGGTGTAAAATTTCTTTTGAAACCATACCCACCCATTTCCATATTCTTTACCTTTCGATAATGCTCTTTTATTTTTGTTCCTTCAAAAGACATTAAATTTGCAAATTTTCTTTTTCAGAGTACAATTACACCTCAATGAAGTCATGAATATGTACCAAGTGAGTCAAGTCATGGATCAAACACAAACCATTAGACAAAACAAAGTTCATTGTATAGTGGACCAACAAGATTATTCTAATTTCAATTAAATGCAAGGTAAGAAAACCATCTTCTTAATTCAATTATACGACATCAAATTAACGCCCTAAGAATAAATATTTGAAAAAAAAATTGCAATTTGAAATTTTTTAACTACCATCTCCAGCTTTACCAATTCATACTCATGATTGTAGGCTAAAAAACTTGATTTTGGGAGAGCAAGAAAAAAACTTAAAGTAAATTGGAGATGATATGAAGAAAGCTTGCTGCTATTTTTGGATGTTGGATACTGCTGCTTTTGGATGTCGGATGATGTTGTTTTGTTTTGGATTTGTTTATTGTTGTTTGCTATTTTAGTTTTAGGAACAGAATTGGAATATAAAAGGCTATTTATTGAGGTTGATTTTTTTTTTTTTTTTAAAAGAGTTTTAAAGTTGATGTTAGGCCCGTTTCTGAGATTTTAATGGCCTAGGGCAAACATATAAATTGGGACCCTATAAGGAGTATTTTTTTAAAAAAATTTACCATTAAGGGTATGCACAATGACAATTACCCGCCTCAATTTTAACTCCACATATCAAATCTAAAAATAAGAGACAAATATAACAAAGTTCATTTTTTTTTTGTTTGAGGGAAAATATAACAAAGTTTTCAAAAAATATGAAAATAGACTTCCTTTCATAAATATTTAGCGATGAACAATATGGAATAGAAGTCAAACCACTTGTTTAATTCAAAATCAAATCATTGACTCATTGTCCCATGAATCTTCATATAATAAGAAATTAGAACTAAAAAAACTAATTGCTCACTTCATATGAATATCAGGAGCTAAAGCATAAAAAAAACAAAAAAAAAAAAACAAAAAAAAAAATCTATACGCTCAAATTGTTAAAATTATTTTTCACTAGCTAATCTATCTTTACACAGGTGCATTTATTGCATTTTTAATCAGTTTATTACTTTTTTTTGAAAAGAAAATTAATTCATTAATAGAAGAATCATATGACATCTACAATATAAATCAAAACTAGCAAATACAATACAAACTGAATCAAATAATATTCTAATTTGACAAAACTACGATCGTTGGTATCTGTATCTGACATTTCTAAATGCCCTCTTTCACACCGCTGTTTGATACAGCTTTTCACGAGGGGGTCTTTCGATCTATTGTAGTTTTGGAATCGAACACTATTCGATACAATTGATTGTAGAGGTAGAATTAATCTCCATGGCGACATAACACAACTCTTCATAAAAAATCAATTTTTCTTACGAAATTAAAGAACATAGCCCCAAAACTCTCAAAAAGAGAGAAATTAACCCGATACGGGTAGAAAAACTCTCAAATAGAGAGATTATAATTATTGTGAGCATAAAGTAAAAACTAGTAAGAAACTAAGATATTAGTTTGGTTGGTGGTAGCCCCTAGAAACAAGAATTTAGGGTTTTTGAGGAGGAAGAGAAAAAGAGGAAAGGCGGAAGTTGTATATTAATCAGTTTATTACTAATTTAAGCCTTTTTTTTTCTTTTTTAAATCTTAATTAAAATTTAGATTAATAACACAGTTTATCTAAATCAGTAAAAACAAAAAAAATATGTGTGAAATTTAAAAATGAAAAAAAGGATGAAACTTTAACACAAACCTTACCACTTTAGATAGTGATTTAGCAAAATAACAGTAAGAAGTATTACTCACTCCGTGTTTTAATAAGTGTTACACTTTTTTTTTTTGGCAAATAACTACACTTAAATATTATATCTCTCTCATCTCATGGTCCCCACCTAAACTCATTACTATTTTTTTTTTAATAATTATATCTTTCCTCTCACATTCATTACTTTTCAATAAATTATTAACCCCACTATTTTTTTTATAATTTTTAATACTCCAAATACCCCACATACCTCTTATTTTATTTAAGTCAATTACATTGCCTAAAACTATGTGCCGGTTGAAGTGTAACACTTATTAAAACACGGAGAGAGTATTATTTTATTGGTGAAATATGAAGTTCAAAGGAGGATCAATTTAAATATAATTGAAAGCTTTTCCATTGAAAATTGAGAATATATACCACTATTTATATACAGATTAATAATTTTCATATTTATAATTGATAAAACTAGGGAATAGGGATTAATTAGGAAATAGGGATTAATATGAAAAAGAAATTGAATTTGGGTAGATTTTGAAAAGTATGAAAGAAGGTATGGGGATTTGTTAAATGATTAATTACAGGCGTGAATAAATTTAGTTTAGGAAATTGAATATCATGTGTGAAAATCAAGGGTGAAGAAAACCAAGAAGAAGAAGAAGAAGAATCATTGGAATTTTAGGGGCCTTCATGTAAACCAAAATTGGGCTTCCCAACATTGGGCCCTGCCCCGCCCTTGCTACGGGTCTGGTTGATGTGCACGATCTAATTTTACTTTGGAATTACTGAATTTATTTATTTTTTAACTCCAATTAATGCTTAGGTTAGTTAGTAAGCTTTTTAAATGGGCTAACTTGCTTGTGAATTAACCACAAATCCTAAACAGTGAAAGAAAAAAGTTCAGGTCCTAAAAGGTGAAAACTAAATAAGTTTAGTCCCTAAGGCTCCTTTAACCAGAGATTCTTGTCGGAAAATTAAATTTGGTAGCGCTGCTCAAAGTTTTTGTGTTAGTTTTTTCAAAAAAAAAAAAATTAAAAGGTAGTTGTTTTCAAAAGTGGTCATTTAAATGGTAGTTTTTGAGATAATTTCCTTTTATAATTATACTTTTATGATGAGAGTGAGGGATAGCTTAAGTGGTTACAACTTTCTTCTCAACTTCAGGAGATACTGTTGTTTTTAAGAGGTAACGAACTTTCTTCGTGCTATTCACATGTAGGTGGCGTTTGGTTCGGATAATGGAAACAGAGTGGAAAGGAAACAAATAAGAGGGGGGAAAGGAATCATTTAGCTATTACCTTTACATTTGTTTGGTTTAACTATGGAAAGGAATCAATTAAACTTTACTCCCTTTGTTCTTGTTTGGTCTACCTAATGGAAATGAATCATTTGAAAATGCAACTACTTATAATAGGAAGTTTTTGCTATTTAATATATGAGCAATTTTACTTGATCATTTTTTTTTTGGGGAATTAAGCAAATATTATTAACAAAGAATGAAAGAATTACAGCAAGTAACAAACATAAGCCCAGCAACACAAAAAACAGACACAAGTAATAACAAAATCAAAACCAGAACTCAGCCAAAAACACCATCAGCCTGAGAACACATAAACACCAGACCAGAAAACAGCAGGCCAGAAACAGCCACCAACTGTACATAAACCGAACGATCAGCAGCTACACACCAGCAATTGCAGCAGGAAACAACATTCCAGCATATGCCTGTATAGACCCACATCAGACCAGCTGCAAAGCCAAGACAATAGAACAATAACCCAAAAACACACCAACAATGGAGCAGCAGCAGCAGACTAACTGCTCCCGCTCAAAACCTGCATCAGATCACAGCAACACACAAAGCTAAAGCAAAATAAACCACCCACAGCAGGACCAACTTCAGAAACCAGACAACAGAACTTGATCAAGTTACATACCATTATTAAAATACCATAAAAATAAGTTAGCTATAATATTAAACTGATTATATCATAGCATAACAAGTACTTTTTGTAGGAAACCAAACAAATGTATACTACAAAATTCTGAAATTCAAGAACAAAATAAGCCTTAATTAAAGTTTCAGAGGACATACATTGTAGATGATTAGCAATACTCCCACCTACTTTTTCTTAAGGAGATCTAAAACATATTGTTTCTTCAAGTTAGTTGGAGCTTGAAAAAAGATTCGAAGCTTATGTTTTTCAGCCATGAGAATTGTTGCCACCTCTAAAGATTCCGAAGGAGAAACACCATCCAATTTCATAACTTCTTCTAACACCGTATTCACTTCATCATCCATTTTTTGCTCCCTTTCTTCGGCTTTGGACCATGAATTTGCCATAGTTCCAAGATTTGCATTTATGTCCTCAAAAATTTTCCCAAAAGTTTTAGATGTATTATGAAGAGAAGCTACTAACTCATTAGCATCATCTACCTTTTGATGTGTCTTTCCTTTTCCCTTCATTTCTTTCATCTTTGATTTTTTGGAATGAGTATTATCATCCTCTTTCTTCATTGGTCGCTTATGGGATTGAGTTGTTGATTGAGTGGAATGGGTAGAATGATTGGGAGAATCCATCTAACCGTCTTCGTCACTCTGTATTGTCATAGACTGATTTGCAATCTCAACATTCATGTTATCAATAGCTCCAACAAATGATTCACTAACTTCTCCGATTGCTTTATCTTTTGCATAGATTTCAGCAAGTGTCTCATAATGAGGAAAAGGTACTCCATACAACCCCTTTGCTTTCTTGTGAGCCTGCAATGTAAGCTCAGATAAGACTCTATTCCAGATAAACAGCATACTCAGCATACTCAGATCAGCATACTCAGCCAGAGAAATACATGCTTAGATAAGACTCTATTCTAGATAAACAACATTCATAAAAACAATAAAATAAAGTAAATCATTCAAACATGAACCTAACTCGTTTATCAGAATTTGAAATTCTACTCTCTGCTCCTCCCCTGCCTTTTTTAGATTATTCCCTTACAGAAATATAAGCTCAAAGCCTCAAAATCCATGTTACATAAAAATAAAATAAAAATCAGCTAATATATCTGCTTCTCATCATACTCACCTTTAGAGCAGATTTATACTAGTACTAAGCTAGCAATCTTACTTAAATCAGCTATGTCAACTTCATATTCACTAATTCATTTCCTGCTAATTATTCTCAGCCTAACATCAGCCACCTCTCTAAATACAAACTTAATAACAATAGCATTATTGAAATGAATTTAATAACTACTCAAATCATAAAAAATGAAGAACATTAAAAAGCTTACTTACCTTAGCCCATTCATGAAATACAGTTTTCTCTACTTGCAACATTTTTTTGTCCGAATCCCATCCAAATCCAGAAGTAGATAACATCTTTGCCATTGCACTATATTTCTCTGTCCAATGCTTAATCCTTGACTCAATGTGTGGATCAGCTTTCAAGCCACAATTAGGTAGCACATATTTTATCATTTCTTCCAACTTATTCATGTAACCACTTTTGAAGCCACTTTCGCTTTTCCATTTAGGATCGAGAGATAACTCATGTAAATATTTTATGAGCACCGTATCTTCCTCAAAGGTCCAAAAACGCTTATTCTTACCTCTTCCTCGATTGCTTCCCTCTTCTCCCATCATATACAACTTCAAGGAGAAAATTTACATATTTCAAGACAATTAGTGCAAGAGTATAGGTATCATATGGTGTACTAGAAAAAAGTAAGTAAATTAAACATA